GAATACTGCCAACAATTTACCCCCTGCCTCTTCTTCCCATTTACTATGAGATAGAGGTAGTTACAAAGAATGAAGAACAACTAGAAGATGACTGAATATAATAATACTGCAATTTATTGGAGCCTTCTCATGTAAGCTCCCAATAAGTATTATTTTGCAATGTATTAACTCATCCAATTCTCATAATAACACTATGGAGTAGACATAATTATTACTCCCAATTTATGGACGTTAAGTGACTTATCCATGGTCATTCAAGTAGTAAATGGTAGAGCTCAAAAATGAATTCAGGTAGTCTGACCACAATGCTAGAAGTTGTTAAAAAGTATCTCAGCCAGCAGTGCCTTGCCCTCCCCTGGGTCCTCAAGGAAAAGAAATTTTTAAAAATAAAGTGTTTCAGTTTTCTTTGACATATCTTTAATGACTGGTTGCTGGTATGGCACTACAAAAAACTCAAGCTTGTTTCTGTCAAATAGGGCAGAGAAAGTAGGACCTACAGAGTCCCCAACAAGTCACACAGAGGCTAGAGCTGCCATACAGTACATGTATGTACTCCTGGGACAAGAACTTCCAAGGGCTCAAACAGAAGACTCCCCAGAGTGGCTCGGCATGGTCTGTGATAGGCAGACAAAAACACTACGAGGAGGTGCTCTTCACACTCAGAGGTCTTCCCTCCCACTTACCATATGATTGTTGCCATCTCAGACTTTTCACAGTAAGTTGAAGAATTCAGAAATAAATGATTTTTCCATGTTGATTCTTCCATCACTCCCACAAACTATAATATTAAACTTATGAAGATGCAGAAAGTTGGCATAAAAGACAACAGAATCATAGAATTTAACTGTACAGGAACTCAGCCTCTTCATATTGCAGAAGACCCAGCGAGGCTGCCTAGGTGCCTTGCCCAAGGGTTACACAGCTAATTAACAACAGAACCCAATGCAACTTATACCAATCCAGTTCTTCAGCCACATCACTGTGCTGTCTTAGATATGCCCAACTACAGAAGTCTCATTTGAGAGTTCATTCAGATGCATCAATATAAATTCGTATTTTTACTAATACATTATACATTTATATACACTGGCTACTGACAGCTTTTCTGTCTCAAACCTGAAAAAGCACCAAAAAATTTACAAAAACACTTTAAAAAACTCACTATTGAAATTCAACAAATATTAACTAGTTTATCTATTTTGATTTTCCAAATACTCCAAGTAAAGAGATCACACTTCCTCCATTTAAGTCCATGTTTCTCTGATGCAGGTACCACCTGCATCGGAATCACACGAGGTACCTGTTAAAAATGCAGATACATGGAGTTATCCCCAAATCAACTGAACCAGTCTCTGAAAAAGCTCCCAAATTAACAGTTTAGTAAGCTCTCCTGGTGATTCTTCTTCATTCAAAAGCTATTTATTAAACATTCATTCTATAATACAATATTCTAGTGCAAAATGAGAGACAAGCAAGTAAACAAAAATAAACATTTTGGATTTTAGCTTGGCTGTGAAGGAAAAAATGGTATGTCAGAGAGGGACCTGGAGGACTACTTTAAAATGAGTAACCAAATGAAGTCTTTCTGAGGAGACAACATTTGAAGTAAGGAGCCCTTCATTCAAGATCAGTGGTTCTCAAACTTAAGTGTGCATCAGAATCACCTGGAGGACTTGTTAAAACAGACTGCTGTCAGAGGTCTGGAGTGGGGCCCAAGAATTTATAATTCTAACAAGGTCATGGATGATGCTGATGCTGCAGGTCCAGGAACCACACTCCGAGAACCATCAACATACAGGGAACAGCCGAAGTGTGTGAGTATATTAAGAGAATCAGAAAGAAGGCCAGTTAGAAGGAAGGGCACTATACTCATCATTTCAAAACCACTTGAGAAAGAAGGTGGATTAAAAACACCAGCTACAGTTCTCCAGACAAGAGAAGATGACATCTGAGGTTGTTCAATACCTTGCATTTTTGAAGTATTTCAGTTATAAAGCATTTTCACATTATTATTTTTTTTTGTTTTTTTTTTTTGTTTTTTGAGACAGGGTCTCGCTCTGTGGCACAGGCTGGAGTGCAGTAGTGCAACCATAGCTCACTGTAACCTCCAACTCATGGGCTCAAGTGATCCACTTCAACCTCCTGAGTACCTGGGACTACAGGCGGATGACACTAGGCCCAGCTAATTTTTTTATATTTTGGAGAGACAGGGGTCTTGCTGTGTTGCCCAGGCTGGTCTCAAATTCCTGGCCTCAAGCTATCCTCCCGCCTCGGCCTCCCAAAGTGCAGAGGCGTGAGCCACTGCACTCAGCCTGTTTAATTTGACTTAGTGAGATCTAAGTGAAAGACTACTAGCTACATTTTAGAGAGAAACTGAAATACTAAAACAGTATGAACCTCCTTTAGAGTTAAGTAGGCAGAACTATGTTCCCTGATTCCAAATCCAGTGTTCTCTCCAACATAGCTTGTTCTCTTTTTTAAAAAGCAAAGCAAAGCGTACATATAGGAACTAATACTGACAAACTATTTTTTAGACTCTCTACCTTAAAAACATGGTGGATTCCAGACTCAATTTGTCCTATATATACTGTCTGTATATACTGGTTAGAAAGCAACATTACTTAAGACTGACAGTATTTAGTTCCTTCCATTTATTTCTCCTAGTTCTAAAACAAAGGATGAAGAAATGAAAAGGGAATTTACAGGTTATTATTCTCTCTTCCACATAAATTTCAGAGAGCCAATTTCATAACCTCAGTCCCTCACAGCCACATGAATCACAATTTGCATCTTGCAATTTGCCTCTAACTCTCTCGCCTAACACAGGTATCTCCAAAAGAACACTGAATCTCAAGTGTCTTACTATGCTTATGGGGCCAAAAACAGTTATCCTCTACACATCCATTATCACTTAGTGTCTCCATCAACCAAAACCTTATTCTTTAACATAGCATTCTTACCTGTATATCCCAATACTTCAAACCAAAACATCCCAAACTGAAATCGTTACATCCTCCCTCTACCCCTACTTCTGCGCCTGAATTCTTTATTTGCACTAATAGCATTGTCATCCCCCAAAAAAGAAACCTGGAATTCAGCTTACACATTTGTCTCCATCACACCAATCTAAATGCCCCACTCTACCTCCATTCCCATCGCCACTTACAATTAGTTACTACTGATAAACTAGATGCCATTTCTTCAGTAACTGCCGTGTACACTTTACATTACATATATATTTTTAAGACTAGTCAAGGGCAGTAACATTGAGTATTTTATCTTCACTTCATTCTCTCAATAATCCTGTGAGCTACGTACTTTTGCCTGTTTCACAAATGAGAAAACTGAGGCTAAGAAAAGTTAATCTGTCCAATCATAAGTAGGAGGTGGCAAAGCAGACATCCAAATTCCACCATGCCAAAATGCTTCCTTCTATGATACCTGGTATCAGTTCTTCATTATCCCTTCCAACTGAAAAATTTCTCACCTAGATAACTGCCAAGATTCTCCTCACTGATCTCTCTGCCTCCAGCCTTGCACCTTCCCTCATTCCTCAAGTGCCCCAAGTGATCCTTCTGGATCACAGATCTGATCCTTTTATCCTCTTGATATAAAAGCCCTTAAAGAATGCCCTTTAGTCCACATTGTACAGAATACACTCTACAGAATAATTCCAAAACCGTTAGTACAGATCTACAATCACTTACCTGCAATTCTGAAATTCCAAAGCTTTGAAATTTTAAGTTTTTTCATAAGTTTGCAACAAAACCCCCTCTGAATTTCAGGAGGCTATTTATTGTCCATTTATCCCATTAGTGTGATATTCATGTGTTTCGATGCAGAAACATTAATGTATTTGATAAAGAGCTATTAACCCTGACCCTGCTAAAATATTACCTAAGTGACCTTTCTAGGAAAAAGAAAAATTCCAAAGTGTTCTGAAGTCCAAAACACATCTGGTCCCAAAGGTTTCAGAAAAGGGACTGTGGGCCCCTCACCTATTCAGCCCATCAAGCCACTCTAATTTCCACCAATCACCTTACACGTTCTTTAATTCCAGGGATGTATAAAGTGCCCTATGTCCTGAATACCCTCCAACCCACTGAGGTATTCACCCTTCAAGAACCTGCTCAAGGATTTCTTTTCCGTGAAGTTCCCCTGACCTTCCCTCCATCGTGCCACAACCATTGTCCTCCCCCAGGACTTCCATTACTGCACGTTATATTTCCCTGTTGCACTGTGAATGAGATCCTCACCGAGTATTTTATTCAACCCTAGCACAGTGCCCAAACACTAAGGGCTCATTAACGTACAATAAACTGAAACAAATTCATGCCCAGCTCCCCCTACCTCCCAATTTCCTCCGAAGTTCATTCCTCCTTCATTCCCAAACCTTAGGATGTTCCCTAACCCTGCAGGCCCCTCGCTTATTCTCACTTCCTGAGCTCCTCCTTCCCAATGTCGTTTTAAAATTATTTTCTACCAGGAGCCTTCTTGTGGCCCCAAGCTTTCCAACGTCTGTTATCCACCTCCATTAAATCCGTAGTCCTTTCTCTTAACTGTGAAGAGGCCAAGTCCCCTCCCTCCAGAGCAATCCATCCTCACGGCCCTTACCTCTTACCTACTCCCTCAACACCTCTCCTGGCTGGTCCCTTCCACCCAAAACGCTTCTCACAACGGGTTTCCCACACCCCGTCTTCTCTCACCGTCCGGGGTCCACCAGCCCCAGAACCAGCACCCGGCCTGTATCTGCACACCACAAACCTCCCTCGCAGCCAGTGTCCCCTCCCCCAGCCTCTCGCAGCCGGCACCCCTCCCTTCAACCTCCCCGTGTCTCTTGCAGTCTAGCTTCGCTGGAAACTGTCCTGGGGGCCGTGTCTTTCACCCCTAGACCCTCAGGATCGCGCCGGTCGGAGCAGCCCCAGCAACTCGGTCCCCAGATCCTTCTGGACTCCACAAATCCCCTGCGGCCCAGACGTCGGGCAGGACCTCCGGCTCACCTTGTTGGATGTCGCCGTTGCTGCCCCCCGGGATGGGCACGCTGAGCTGGCGCTCAGGCTCGGGCAGGCAGCGCAGGCAGAAGGAGTGAAGACAGGGCAGCAGCTTGGGCTCCGCCTCACGCCGGCTCTGCAGGCTCTGCTGACACACGGCGCAGGTGTCCAGGAGCGAGGCTGGCGGTCCAGAAGGCGGCCCCGCCGAGGGACCCGGAGCGGGAGCCGAGGCTGGAGCTGGGGCCGGCGTCGATAACGCCCCCCCAGGAACTCCAGGGCCCACTGAGGCCGCAGGGGCTGAGGCAGCCTGGGCCGAGCCCGAAGAGGCCGCGGCCACCCCCCCGTCGTCGGGCCCGGCCGCGCCGCCCTCCGCGCCGGCCCTGCCGCCTTCCTCCTCCTCCTCCTCCACCAGCACCGCGGCGAGAGGCGGCTCCGCCTCCTGCGCCGCGGGCCCCGCGGCCCCGGCAGTTACCGGCGCGCTGCCGCTGCCCCCGCCGCTGCTCTCAGCCTCGCCGCCGCCTTTGTTTTCCGCCATGTTTTCCTCTTTGAACCCGCCGGACCGCCCCGCGCCGCCCGCCGCCCGCGTCGCCGCCGCCGCCCCCAGCCCCAACCGCAGCCGCAGCGAGAGCGGCCGCCGAGAGCGAGCAAGGGAACGAACCCACGAGAGCGCGCGCGCAGACGGCGCCCCCGCCCTCGCGTCGAGCGTTTGAAGGAGAGCGGGCGCGGTGCGCGCACGTACGCACCGACGTCTTCCAGAGGGAGGCGGGAACTCGGTGCGCGGGCACGGAGCCGTCGCTGCTTCCAGTACCGGCCTACGGGCCCGGTTCCTCGCGTCGGTGCCGCGGCAATTTAGCTCGAAAGGAGCTTTTAAAACCAGAGGCCCTTGATGGTGGACGGCCTTTGATTGCGGGTGATTGTAAACTCTGATGCAGCGGTGGTGCGGAAAGAGGACGGAAAAGAGTGGAAGGGTCGAAGGCCTGGGCCGGCTCCTGCCTGAGCAAGCGTCTCCCCGGCGGCGCTGTTCCCAGCGGCGAGCGCGTCTCCGAGGAAGCTTCACCTGCCGCGCGGTCGGATGCCGGGGCCTCCTGGGTTTCTGTGCTGCGCGTTAACTTCGGCCGCCTTCGTGCGCTGTGGCTTGGGGGAGCAGCAAAGTAGAGTTTTTGTTTTGTTTTGTTTTGTTTGAGCTGGGTACCAGAAATAGGCTGGAAAGGCCGGGTGAAGAAGAAACTCTTTAACAGTATTTTTAGTTTCCTAAGGTGATTCTCAAATTGCTACATATCAGAATCAACTGGGGGGTTCTTCAAGCACAGATGCCAGAGCTACCTACACCCTAGACCTGAATTGGGAAGTAGGGGAGAGGGCTGATGGATGTTGAAAAGCCACTTGAGCTGATTTTAACGTGTGTCCATTTGGGGAGGCACCGATCTAAGCAATATCCTGTCCTTCTGAGAGTCCCACTTACGTTTCCTAGCGTGAGCTGGGTGACAAATGTCCTAACAATATCAGTAATAGCAGCTTACAGAAAGGGTTGTCTTTTTATTTGTAAAACAAGCATTTGGAGGATTTTATTTAGTGCAGTGGCTGTTTGTTGGGATCGTGAAGGGATTCGGTCTTATCACTGTTGCCAAAAAATTTATCTGTGAGCTGGTGTAAGTCCTTAACCACGTGCAAACATTTATTCATTCAAAAATATTTACTGACCTCTTTATTATGTGTCGGATAGTGTTTTAGATAGGCTGGGATGACAGCAGAGAACAAAGGAGCTCTGTACCTTCAAGGAATTTACGATCTAATGGAGGAAGATTGACAATAAATATATATATAGTAGGGAATGGTAAGTGCTATATGAAGAAAAAATGAGCAGGGTAAAGGGAAGGCCTCTGTTGATCAGTGAAGGAGCCTGTCTGGCAGAAGAGTGTTCCTGGTCGAGGAACAAATAGCAAGTGGAAAGGGCCTGAGGCAAACAGGGCTTCTTGGCTTGTTGGAGGAACAGCTAGGAGACAGTGTGGCTAGTGTGGCTTGAGCAAGGGAGAGAGTAGTAGGATATGAGATAAGAGAATTATTAAGGGGGTCAGGTCGTGTATAGAAACGGTCTTCAATTTGTTTTAACTTTTGTGCCCTTTAAAAGAGTTTTGGAAAATTATTTTCTCTTGAGCATTGTCAGTTGACTCCAAAATTGTTCATAGATTTAAATAGTTGCAAAGTGTAATTTCTGACGTTTCTCAATACTGACATTTGTAGCATTTTTAAATCTATCGACGGGAAAAGTAAACACTAAAGTGGTTTAAGACTATCGCCTGTTTTTAAAGTACATAAAAATATTATATTTTGTTAAATATTGAAAATGAAAAATAAAGTTTCAGGAATGTTTTAATGAAATGGCTAAGAATCTTTTTTGTTTTCCCAATTAGTCCATATAGGCTTGAGTGCATACAACATTACTAGAATGAGACAGATCCTATATGAATTCCATTTTTCATTTTTATACACTTAAACACTGCATTAAAAACTATGTGTATGAAGCTCTCAGGTGGGCAAAGGCAATGCATGTAACCTCAACATTTGTACCCCCGTAATATGCTGAAATAAAAAAATTTTAAATAAAAACTATGCGTATATACACATATATATACGTAGTAGATTAATTCCCTTAAAACTATCCTTATGTACCCCTTAGAAAAATTTCCTCCATTGGAGTACCCCAGGAGTACTCATTTAAGACTACTGAGTCAGATGAAAAGCCTTGTATGGATTTTAGGTAGACCCAAAGCAGAATTGTGAAAAGAGTCACTGCTGCGTAGAGAAATCACTTGTAGACAGAAAGGAAGAAGAAAGACCAGTTAGGCTGCTAATGCAATAATAACTCAGTCAAGGCATAATGTTTGATTGGACCAGGCTGGTATCTGTACAGGTGGTGGAAAATATGAAGTATAGATAGTAAAGACTATTCCCCAAATTCACTTCAAAAAAATAAGTTTATGAATTGAATTTCTCAACCAAAAGTTTTGTTTCCATGAGTTTTTCTTAACCTTTGGATGCCTTCCTACTGCTTGCCTTTATTAAAATCTAGAATAAAATTATTGTTTTATTCTGGAGCCAAAACGCTTGGTTTGAAGCCTGGTTCTACCGCTTACTATGATTTAGGGCAACTTACTTAACTTGCTTCAGTTTTCTTTGTTGTAAAAGGGTATTTGCTACTAGTAATGGTAGGTAGTGAGGGACCTCCAGCTATCCTAAGGACAAAAGGTGGTGCCTCGCCTTGGTGCTGCCTCCAGCAGTTGCCACACCTGGGGAAGAAAAATGGGGGAGGCACCTGCCTTAGTGCTGCCCCACCTTGATCCTGCCCTGAGCAATTGCCACACCTGGGGGAAGGAGGAATGCCCTGCCGATCTGCAAAAGAATGCAGGGAATTCCCCAGCCCCTGGCCGGGCAGCCCAGGCACAATAGGGTCTGGAAAATGACCTAGAGTAACCCAAAGCTAATTATCACATCATTAACTGTCCATCAAAGTGGTTCAGTGATGAAGTTTGTTTTTTTGGTTTTTATTTTTTTTAATTTGAAGTTTGAACCACAAGGAGGGTGCAATCCAAACAATGTAAAACAGGATCCTGGACCATAACCAGGGCCTTTTGTTATGACGGAGGACAGGGGGCCCATTTGTTGTCTGTGGTGAATGTATCTTGCTCTTGCTCTATAAAACTATCTTGCTCTTCCTCAATAAACTTTGTTTCGTGCTGGCCCTGCTATTAGTATGTCTGGTCATTCTTCAACCAAGAGCACACCAAGAACCAAGAACAGACTGCCAACTTGACAGTAGGATCTACCTCAAGGTTGTTTGACAAATAATATTTGTACAGTGCTAATAACAGCGCCTGGTACATGGTAAACATGAGTACTAAAGTAGACCCAAAGTTCTCTGAAAAGGACAGAACTGGAGGGGAAAACAAATGTGCCACTGAGAGAAAATCTCAAGAAAACGAATCAAGCTATGAGCTGAACTGAACAACAGGTGTAGGTAGAGGCTGCGTCCAGCTATTCACCTGACCTAGGTTGTTAGCCCCTGACCCTCTTGTCTGAGCATTATGAGAAAAACACAGGTCTGAAATACAGGAGAGAGCTATCAGTAGGTCTGTAGCAGTTCTGCTGTGAAGAAAAGCCTTCTGAGTTGCTGGTAACCTAAAGTGGAAGGAGCTTTCCAGTTGTTTAGAAAAGAGAAAGCACTGGAGGTGAGTGTCCCAGGTAGGTGAGTAATGGTGAGAGCGCGATGTGTCCATCACTGGACACAGGAGGTTCCAGACAGTAAGGCAGTAGCCTAAGGGTAGCGGGAACATTTGGAAATGCTGGTTTACACCTCCGAAACAGAGCAACCATGGTGACCAGTATGAGCAGAAGAGTGCATGAGGCCCAGCAGAGTGATGCTGAGCTGCAGTTGAGATTTGGGACATTTCTATAAATGTGCAATACTTGGACCCACCGGTGGGTGGGGCCAAGGAATATAAAGGTGACATTTTATCATTTAAAGTTCACTTCTCAGCATTTCATGGTGTGCAAAGTGCACATTGACTTCCCAGTGCTCTGTTGTCTGAATGAGTTTGGGAACCACTAATGCCAAAAGGAGCGGGACAGATAGCAAAGTTCTGAGTAATTACTATCTATTGTTTTTTCTGTTTCTAAGGCTTTTCAGGGGCACATTGTAAGTCCAGTAATAAACATGACATTGAACAGCAGTTTACAATTTGCAGAGTGCTTTCACACGTATTATCTCTAATTCTTGCAACCAGTAAGATACATCCCAATTTAGACAATAAACAGACTTTATTATGTGAATGGACTGTAATGTATTAACCATCTATTGTTAGAAAATAAGAGTTATTTTCAATTTTTTGCTATTATAAACAATATTGTGATAAGTATTGTGATGAATAATTTTTAGTATGTGTATAACTATTTCTTCTGAATATTCCTAAAAGTAGAATTCTTGGCTGGGCTTGGTGGCCTGCACCTGTGATCCCAGCTACTTGGGAGGCTGAGGCGAAAGGATTACTTGAGCCCAGGAGTTAAAGGCCAACCTGGACATAGCAAGACCTCATCTTGATTTTTTTAAATTAAATAAATGAAAAATTTAAAAAGTAAAATTGCTGATTCAAAGAGTATGCCTATGTAAAAGTTTTTAACATATATTTAAAGGATTCCCTATGATTTATTATATAACCAAATTGTTTTGAAGTATTTTGCTACTATAAATAAAAAGTGCAATTAACATATAATCTTTTTTTCAAATCCCTGTTTCTCTAAAGGTCTCTGTTTCCTCATATCCCACTCATTCCTCAATTCATCCTGGCCTGGCTTCTCCTCCCATCACTCTACCAAAACAGCTTTTGGTAAGGCCATAGATTACCTCCATATTTTTACATCCAGTGAACATATTTTATCCCTAACCTTGTCTTCTCTGTGGGATTTAACACTGTTGGCCACTCCCCACTCTGGAATCACTTACTTCCTTGGCCCTTATGACACCACATTCTCTTGGTTTTC